TCACCAGGGACGTTTGGAGCAACTTCTTGGGGCACCTTTTGGGCACTGCCAGCCCTACATTGCACCAGCTTGGGTGTGATGGTGTTCATGGACTAGTTTTGTCCTGGCAGCATCCTGCTGGTCAGGATGGAGGAGGGTTAAGCATTCCTTGCTGCTGGAGCCTGTCTCTGATGCCTTGTGCTCGGCGGAGCGGTGACGCAGCCGCGCAGCGTGGCCGGATCTGTGGGCGATGGGAACAGATGGCATTTGCTCTCTGAAAGCAAAGCTCTCCCTTCTCTCAGGGAGTAAAGCGATGTTTTCTTTCCTGCAGGGCTCAAATCTGTCCCTGGTGTGGTGCTCTTGGCCAGCTTGGGGCATTAAAGGAAAGGGGTTTGATCCTGCTGCCAGTCAGAGTTGGATGCCCTGGATCCTGCTGGAAGCAGGGGATGTGGGGTGGGGTGTTTGTCCACGATGTTTTATCATTCAGATATTCTGAATGAGGAAGAGTGACCTGGCCCTAAACCTGAGGGGACTTCAAGGAGCTGATCCTGGCAGCTGGACACTCGGTCTGTGACCAGCTAGATCAGGTTGCTATAAGAAGTTGGGATTTGGAGGCCATTTAGAGATGAACACCTGGCTTTCTGTCTTTGGAAGTGCTCCAGAGGATGAATTTCTTCACTTTATCATTCAGATATTCTGAATGAGGAAGAGTGACCTGGCCCTAAACCTGAGGGGATTTCAAGGAGCTGAACCTGGCAGCTGGATGCTCAGTCTGTGACCAGCTGGATCAGGTTTCTGGAAGAAGTTGGGATTTAGAGATGAACACCTGGCTTTCCATCATTATAAGTGCTCCAGAGGATTAATTTCTTCCCTGTAAAGGTGGGGAGGCCCTGGCACAGGTGCCCAGAGAAGCTGTGGCTGCCCCATCCCTAAGAAGTGTCCAAGGCCAGGTTGGACAGGACTTGGAGCAACCTGGTTGAGCAAAAGGGGGTGGAATGAGATGATCTTTAAGGTCTTTTCCAACCCAAATCATACATGTTCCTGTGGGCACATCTCCCCAAAGCATGGAAGATGCATGGAAAGGGCAGGTGATGCATGCACAGCAGAGTTCTGCAGATCCAGGTGATTTCCAGTGGGTGCAAGGAGCCAGGGAAGATAAAAAGGGTCTGGGATGCTGGGCTAGAGGATTAAAGGCATGTCTGAAGCTGTGTGTTCATCTTTGGAGCCACCCCATTAAGTTTGGGGGCAGCAGGAAGGAGTGGAACATTTACCACAACCGGCTTAGGTCAATGTGGTTGTGGGGCCTCACTGGGAGAGACAACTGTGCCCTCCAAAATGCCACAGCTCTGCCCTCCCAAATGCCACATCTCAGCCCAGGACAGAAGTTGCCATTTGGTTAAACGCAGCCACGCTGCAGAAGAAATGAGTTTGTCACATTGAATCAAGACAGCAGCAACAATTCCCAGACTCCCGCGATGACTCCGAACCTACGCCGTGTCCCCTTCAGCGCTCTGCATCCCGGGAAGCCACAATCCCCTCCTGCAAGCCTGGTCCTGTGTCACAGCCCATAAGGTTCCCTGGACCCAGGGGTGAGCTCAGGTCATGGGGAAGGGACTGGCTGGTTGGGTTTCTTCCTCTCCAAGATCCAGGGCGGCCGCGAGCGCGCGGCTTTTCCTCCGCTTTGCTTCCCCCCGCGACGCGCTGGCCCCAAGGGAGCTTTGCTGCTCTCGCATGGCCTGGTGGGATAATTATCAGGGGGTTGAGGAGCCCAGGGAACATCCACGGTGCTATGGAGAGCTCTCCCTGCTTCCAACCTGGAGGGGAGCAGGGGGAGGAAGCAGTTGACCTTTTTTTCTGCTCGGCTGTGCCCTGCTCCTCCAAGCAGATGCTGCTCTCACTCCGGGAGACACAAGCACCAGGAGCTGAGCTCAGGAGCCAGGGCTTTGCAAATGCAGCCTCTCTGAGGCTGCTGCTGATGGGATGTGGTGTCCAACCCCTTCCATAAACAGGACTAAATGGATTTTATACCCATCAAGTGACTCTCCCTGGTCTCACATAACAGAGGAAAGAGGGTTCTGGTCTCTGCTCATGGGTGCCCAGCATGTCTTTGGGCAAGAAATTTAAGGTCTTTGTGCTTCAGTTTCCCTGTGTGAATAAAGGATTTAAATATCTTTAAAGCTTGCAGAGAGAGGTTAGTAGGAAAAAGCAATTTCCTTCCTTCCTTCCTTCCTTCCTTCCTTCCTTCCTTCCTTCCTCCCTCCCTCCCTCCCTTTCCTTCCTTTCCTTTCCTTCCTTTCCTTCCTTTCCTTCCTTTCCTTCTTCCATCGTTGAATCATTATCATTAAGCCTGGAAAAGACTCCAACATCATCAAATCCAACCTCAAACCAATCACCACTTTGCCCCCTAAACTATATAACAAAGTTTTAGGTCTACTCAGTGTTTAAACACTCCCAGGGATGGTAACTCCGCCACTGCCCTGGGCAGCCTGTTCCAATGTTCAGCCACTGTTCAGTCAAGAAATTTTTCCTGTTACCCAATCTGAACCTTCCCTAGTTCAACTGGAGGCCATTTTACCTTGTCCTATCACTTGTTGTCAGGGCTGTTTTCCTCCCTTTCTTTTCTTTCTTTTTTTCCTTGCAAATCCTACCTATCCAGAAATACCTACTCCCATCCAGGACTAATGGAAGTGTCCCCTAAACCTGAAGAGAGCAAGAGGATCAGGGAAGAATTCTGCTGCCACTCTGCCTTGGGCTGTACCACAAGCTGGACTTCTTACTGACCCATTCCCAGGAGTCCAGCTGCAAGAAAAGAAATTTTTCTTTTCTTTCCAGAGCCTTAGATGAATATGTGGAAGAAATTCTTCCCTGTGAGGATGGTAGGTCCTGGCACCAATTTCCCAGAGAAGCTGTGGCTGACCCATCCCTGGAAGTGTCCAAGGCCAGCTTGAATGGGCCTTGGAGCAACCTGGGTCAGTGGAAGATATCCCTGCCCGTGGCAGGAGGGTTGGAATTAGGTGATAATCAAGGTCCTTTCCAACTCAAATGAGATGATCTTTAAGGTCCCTTCCAGCCCAAGCCATTCCATGATTCTGTGATTCACATCACAGAACTTTCATTCTGTGATTCACATCACAGATCTTTCATTTCCTTTTGAACCTTCTTCTAATTCCTAATTAGACATGGGAGGATATCTTCACCCACTTGAAGAGTTTTGTCTGAAATTTCATGCCCTTTTATTTCTCAAACCCTTTAAAAATCTCCTCCTAACTCCTCCAGTAGTGACACACTTCCAGTTCTTGTCTTCCTGCTCCCCCTCAAAATGGGTCTAGCAGGAATGTCCCACACAGAACATCGAGTTCTGTTAAAAGAGTTTGCCTCTTTTATTTAAAAACACAGAAAAACCCAGATGCTTCCATGAAAAATTTGTCTTTAGGTCAGAAAACAACTTGGATATTCTAAGAAAAAGAATTTTAGGGAACTCTTTCCATCAAATGCCCTGATGAATCCTCTTTGCTCTGTGCTGAGGTCTTGGCTCTGCTGCTCTGCTGTCACTGGAGAGGGGCTTTTGTGTGTGTTTGTTTTGTTTCATTTTTCCTGCTCCTTAGTGAGATCTTATCATAGAGGTGTTGGAAAAGCATCTTCAGCCTGGAGATCCTGCTTGCCTGGTTATGAAAGTTCTGGAACAATGACTGCTGGAGCGTGGCTCTCCCAAAACCACAGTCAATTGGAAACTGGGGTGTTCCACATCAGAATCAGCTGCACTTTGGTGCTGGGTAAAATAACCTTTTTATTCCTTCTTCCAGCACAGCTGTGTTGTGTGGCTGCTCTGCAAGCCATGGGAAAATGAAGTTCAGGAAAAATAATTCTTGTTATTCATTACTTATGAAACTCTTGCTCTTCTTCTGAGGTCTTGGTAGCTCTTCCATTTGTAGATTTTTAACCCCCACCAATGGTGTTGTTTCAGGATATTTATTTGTTTGTTTAAGGGCATGTAGTGACAGGACAAGAGGGAATGGTCTTAAGATGAAGGAGGGCAGGTTTGAATTGGATATTGGGAAGAAATTCTTCCCTGTGAGGGTAGTGAGGCCCTGGTACAGTTTGCCCAGAGAAGCTGTGGGTGCGCCATCCATGGAAGTGTCCAAGGCCAGGTTGAACAGAGTTTGGAGCACCCTGGGGTAGTGGAAGGTGGGTTGGAACAAGATTAACACCTCTTCCAACCCAAACCATGCTAGGATTCCATGATTCTCTGCTGGCTGGCTATTTGGGAAATGGTTTGGGATGTCTACCTGAAAAGCACAGTCCAGATGGAGCCCAGGGTAGCCTGGGGAGGGCCTGTGGGTGTTCCAGGCTGGGTGAGTTGGAGGGCTCGCTAGACAGGGAATGACTTATCCTTCCCACATGTCCCCAGCCTGAACGATGTGCCTGTAAACTGATGCACAGAGAAACAGCACCAGTAACAGCTGAAAATGTGCATCATTCCCACAGATTCCTGTCATGACAACTGCAGGTCTGCCTTCCTTCTTCCCTCCTCACCCTCCAAAATTAGCTCCTGCTGTTGCCCAGACAGGGTGGGATGCAAAAATCTGGCTGGACAAATCTGTCCCCAGACCAGTCTGAAATGTTCTGTAACATTGATGACCATCTTTTCCAATTTGCTGTGTCAAGACTCAAGAACCAGAACCACCTTGGGACTGGCTCATCCATCCCTAGGCAGGAGCTATTCAACCCACCCCTAATCCTTACCCAGTCCAGCCCTAATAATCTGTTCTCCAAGAGCAATGGGGGAGCTATCACATCCAGGTTTATTCCTGTGTCTCGTGGGTGTTCGGGATTACAAAAAAATTTCCTCAGGTTGGATGGGGCTCTCAGCAACGTGGGCTGGTGGAAGGTGCCCCTGTCCATAAATTATATGGTCTTTAAGTAGAATTAGATGGTCTTTAAGGTCCCTCCCAACCCAGGTGCTCGCTGTGGGGTCACCACATCTCGAGTGCTTTTTTCACAGCCTCCTTCATGCAGAGAACATCTCAGAGATGACACAGGAAGAGCCTCCCTCCTCTCCCATGAAATCTTTGTGGGAGACTGTCACTGCCTCGGAGTTTGAGCTGCTGAACTGAAAAAGGAACAAAGGAGTTATTTGCAGGATACGTGTTGGGAAGAGATTAAACCTGACAACTCAGCTACGGAGCCTTCCCCAGGCTAGGAGAATATACAGAACTGAATTCTATTTTCCCTCTTCCCCAGCTGCTGGAGGAAGGATCATCCCCTGAGTTCCTGGGTTTTAACCCTGCTCTGCAGATACTCTAGCACTGAACAACTTCTCTCTAGTTAGTGAGGTCCCTCAGCACTCATCCTTCATGGTCATGGCTTGGTCATTAGGTGGGGACTGGGAGGGAATGCCTGTTGGAAGGAGTCTTTCCCAGTCCCAGCTGGGATGATGCTGGGTCAGTACTTCAAGTGATTGCTCAGGACCAGTCAGGAACAGCCAGAGCTGTTCCTCCAGCCAAGGGAGTTTATTATCCTTCACAATCCTTGTTTTTAGACATGTGACTCTTCTGACTTCCAAAGCAATTGTCTCTTCTGACTTCCAAAGCAATCCATCCTTCCTGCTGCACCTGTAAACTCCACCTTACTTAGCTGGGGACTCTGTCCTCACGGGAGAGTCGTAGATTCCTGCTTGTTTGTTTAACACTCCGGGGTGTCTCTTTAATCAGTATCTTTTCAGGTTAGGGTGAGAAGCAAAAGGGTCCAAGCAGGTACGGGACTATGCTCCCATCCTTAGACGTCACTTAAGTCACTTGTTGGCTCGTGGTTTTAGGGGTTTTTCTTGTAAAAACTGTAAAACTGTTAAAATTCAGGGCGCAATGCATTTTCATCTGCATACTGGCTCTGATGTCACTGCCCATTCTCTTTACCTTGGAGGGTCTGTCCTGGTGTCTTCTTGGCAAGCGGCCAGCATCAGGGAAACAATAGTTAATCACCGGCCATTAACAGGTAATTAAGGAGCCCCTCTCCAGCAGCAAACCCAAAAAGGTCTGACTTGTTGTTTTTTTTTTAACTCTGAAACTCAAAAAAAAAATACAACTTTCTATTCATAACAGACAGCCCCTTGGTTTGGGGAGGGTGAGGAAAAGGGAAGGCCAGGACACTGGCAGGAGGTTGCCAAACTTTACTACTCCACTCTAAAAAACTGGCTCTGATCTAAGCAGAATGACTGAAACCTCAATTCCAGCTCTGCTCAGCTGAAGGAGCTTTAGGTGATCCTTATTTTCCCATCACGTTCATTGAGATGTAGGGTAATGTTAGACAAAGTTACCCTGTCTCATCTCCAGTGTCCCATCTGAACTGTGTAACTGGTGCCAAAGACAGGCTTTAAGGACAGACTGACCCTCCTCATCCCACAGACAGACTGATCTCATTCCAAATGGTATTTTGGACATCCTCTAGGCTGCAGCCAGCCCGGGATATCTCACAAGGACCAGGACAATTTCTTCCCTGCCCCTGAGCTCTGGGCCTGGGGCCATCCTGGAGCCCTGAATGATCTGCATCGATTCTCCTCCCCCGGATGCCACAAAGGTTCCCCTCTGCAGATCGTTGTCTCCTTGGTAACTGAACTACATCAAATCGCAACGGGCTGGAGCTCATCAGCCTGCAGAGCCCGAGCTGGGAGAGGGGAAGGAGGGGGAAGGATGTGAGAAGGATGTGAGAAGCCTTGCTCTGGCTCATGAGGGACATCTCACAGGCAGACCCACTAAATCCCGCTGGACTTTTCCCAGCTTCCAGCTCCTGCTGCAGCTGCCGTGTATGACAGGTCTAACAGCTCATCCACCCCTTCCCAACATTCTCTGTTTGAGGAAAACTTTGGTGTCTCCAGGCACTGGCCCATCCACTCCTGATGGATCCCACAAATCTGTCTCCCATTGTTTTGAGCCCTTCCTGCTCCCACACAGAACTTGATTATGGGGAGCAGGGGATATGGCCCAAAGTTAAACCCACAGTATGTGTTTAATTCTCTCTCTGGCTGAAGGTACTGCTATGGGGATGTTGGTTGGGTATTTTGTGTTTTCTTCCCTTCCCCTGTTTGGTGTAACTTTGGTCTTCTTTCAGCATCCCTGGGCTGTTTGATTTGCAAGCAAGCCTGGAAGGTCTGGCTAATTTTGGCTTTAAATCAGAATCAGCAGAGGAAACTGGTACAAAACAGTGAAGATTGGTTTATCTCTGCCAAAATTAATCACCCTGCTCCAGGCATCTTTTCCATTTCTTCTTCACTCCGGGTCTTCTTTCCCTCTCACTCACCTTCGTAGTCTGAATCTTCAGAGTCTGAGTCTCCTCTTTCCCTTCCAAGTGGGCCCCAGCCCAAAAGTCACCTTGCAGACCCTGTCACCCTGATATTCAATGTCTGAAAACTCAGACCCAAGACAGAGGAGGAAAAAAACAAAACCCAAACATCTCAAACTTGAGTGAGCATGCAGTGATCCCAGCTCCTCCATCTTCAGAAGGCTGGGCAGAGGAAATATCATCAAAAGACTGCTTTGCTTTTGGTATATTTTTAATAAATATTAATATATTTGGGTTATTTTTTTTTTCCCTGGCAATGACTTAAAGGGATAGAAGTCAGTGTGGGCACTTAGAAGTGCAAGGAACCAAAGTCACAACTCCTCCTGAGGCAATTCCTTTACAAACAGCACCAGTTGTACTTTTGGAAGGACATCATTAGACAAGTATTATCCCTTCAGCCCCTGGCAAAAAGTCAACATTTGCATTTAAATAGTTCTTTTGCTACCAAACAGAGGCGTGTTACAGAATAGCTGCACGGAGATAAAGATTCCTTTAAGACAGAGAGAGGGAGGGGGGGAAATCATAACCTCAGTGAAAGCCCAGCCCATTTCCCATGTGCTGTCAGCAGAGGAGAGGTTATTTATGCATCCCAGAGTGTGCCCGCTGAGATATAATCTACTGCTCTCAGGAGCCTCTGCTTGCTGGAGGTGGAATTATAAGAATTAAAAATTACAAGCGTAAAACAAGGCCAGTCTAAAATGAAGTATTACCCAGTGGGTGTAAATAATTCATGGGCAAAATAACCCTCCTGGGTCCCCCATTGATTCATCTCACTCCACGGATGCAGAGAGGAATAATCTGTTGGAGGGGCGTTGGAAAACCTCCACGGTGCTTTTTTCAAGGGGCCGGGGTGGTTTCTGAGGGGCTCTGGGCCATGAATGGCTCCTTGGGGAACGATCAGTGACAGCACAAAATGGACTTTCCTCTGATAATAAAACCTTTCTCAGAGCTGACCAAGGGAAAAGAAAACACCATTTGGTGAAGGGGGGAAAAAAAAAATCATGTTTTACTACTGTGCTCCAAGCAGCGAGCACCAGTAATCTGCCCTTGACGTGCAGACATTCCTGAAGTACCCACCAAAACTTTCTCTGGCAAATATTTGCCTTTCAGCACAACCAAATCCCTTTCCAAAGGAGAAGCCTGGCTTTTAGGAAAGGTTTTTCTATGTCTGCTGAGTGCAGGCTGGCTCTGTTTGAGGTTAGAGGTGGAGTGTGGATGAGGAGTGAGAAGGACCTGCGAACTTCACACTTGGGATCATAATGGAAAAATCGGGATGGGCGCTGGCTGGTCCCTCTTTTCTGAGTGCCTGACACTGGATTAATGGTTGTGTCACTGAAACTGCTTTTTTTTTTTTTTTTTAGTGTTGGAGAATCAAGGCATTACATTATTCTGGATGTGCAACAGAAATAATTTTGTCCACACATTGCCCGGGTTGTACAGAGAAAATCTTTCAATCACACATGAATTTTACTATATTTTTCACGTATTTACATAGTCAAAACCCAGAGAAATTCACTGGTTCAATGTTCATTGGTCCCAGGTTACACAGTTCTTAGTATTTGGGTTTCTGTTGGAACCAATATTACCACCCTTCCAGTGAAGAAATCCCTAAAATCCAGTCTAAACCTTTCGTGGTTGATTTAATCATACCTGACTATTTGCTTTGCTCCTCATCTCCCCATTTTGTGTCCCTAGCAGGGTTTTTGTCTGTGCTGGAATTTAAGTGCTAGACCAGAGTGTTTCCATCTGGGAGGGTTTCATTTTGTGTGGTGTTTTTTATTAGTCCAGCAGTTGCAGCAGAGATGTGTCAGGAATTAATGAATTTTGGGATGTTTTATGGGGGAAAAAATCCCATCTCATGCACATGTCCCAGAAGCTGTAGCTCTCAGTCACATCAGTAACCACACCAAAGGACCTGGTGCATTGTCTTTCCTGGGTTTATCACTCGACTTTCCCTGGTGCACATTTAGTGTCTTCCAATAATTCTTTTTATTTTTTGAGCTAGTTGAGGGCATTTTCCCACTTTGTTTTCCAGAGAGAAATACTGGAGTGATGTTGTTTGTACCTGCAGTTGGTAGTAGCAGACACTCCCCTGTTTTTCATGGCTCTGCAAAGCTGGTGAACCAGCAAGACAAAAAGTTTCCTGCAAGTCAGAAACTGATTCTCGAGACAAGAAAAGGTGAATTACCTTAGGAGGAAGAGAAGAGCCAGAGGAAATACTGCTTGGACACATAAGGATGCTTAAAGAACTTTGAAAAAGGAAATGAGTAAGAAAAGAAGGCAGTGTTTGAAAGGAGGGGACACAGCTCTGGCTACTGGGATTATTCATTCTCAAAGGAAACATAAATGAGCTAAACAAGGAAAATGCCATGCAGAGATCACACATTGTTTTTTAAGGACAGGCCCCTAGACATGATCCCTGCTGCTGAGCTGTGACCCAGCTCCCAATCAATCTCTCCTTCCTGAAATGTCACTAACCTGCACTTAAGTGCAATAAGCCTTCCCAGCCTAATTGAAATTCTGAGCCAGAGTCAGGAGACATTTGCTTCAAGTAGTGTTTTAATTGTCTGCTCCCCAGGCTGGTAACAGGATATTTTGTGCCTTGTATTATTCAGGGAGACACCAGAGCTCAACCTTTCCCTTCAGGCTTGTGCCCCTCCTGTCTTGGGTTGCTGTTCTGTTCTTTATTTGGCCTCTGCTCACGCATTACCTGTGTGGATCCTTGTGTGTCTGCTCAGCCAGGGATCAGAACCAGCCCATCTGCTTGGATGCAGCTTTTTGATTTCACTTTTCATCTAGAAATAGATAATTTCCGGGAGGCATCAGGCTGAAACCAGACCCCTGGGCTTCTGTAGCCTGGAGTTATCTTTTTTTCTTAGGTTTAAGACAACTCCTTTTTCCCAAGCACTTGTCATTATAACTTTCCATGCACCAGTTGCTATAACCAGGAGATTATTCTGGCAGAGAGTGGAGGAAGACTCAAACTCCCCATGGCCTTTCCTCCCACAAGTGCTGTACTGAAGCCATGTCCAGAAATGTGTGCATGAAACCAGGCTGAAGTTATGGAAATCACCACAAAACACTGGATAAGAAGAGGTATAATGAGCCTTAATGACCATCTTAATCCTAGTCCTGTTGGCATTGGGTCCAGTCTGTGCTGCAGTTTGGAGGAGCTGGGTGATTAATTTCCTTGAAAGAACCTTGCTGTCCTCCCCATGAAGGGGATCCTACAAATGCCCTACATGGACTCAGCCCTTCCAGCATCTATGGATCAGAATCAAGGAGAACAAAAACCTTCCTTGAATGTTTTATGTGGGCAGGTACCACACCTGTGCAAAGAAGTGGATTTGGTTACGATTCCTTTCTGGATGAAATTTTGACTGTGGGATATCTGGTGGGTTTTTTGGGCTACAACAGGCTTAGTAAAAACCACAGGCTTGTTTCCAGCTGGGTTCTATGTCCAATGTCTGTATTCTATGTTCCGTGGCCACAAAGAGCAAAATTTGTCTTTCCTCTCCCAATTTCAGCACCTTCCTGCATCATCCTCTTTCCCATCATTACCAGAGACACTCCCACCTTGGAAACCAGGCAGAGGGAAGATGACTCTTTTGGGGTCATGCATGAGATTT